ACGACAATTCCTCTGAGCTCTGGGACTAGACCTTGTTGCAAACTTTGTACTTTCTCTAACTTTTGACGTGCTTGACAGGTTGTGGGTTCCTGGATGGTGCTGCATACTCCAGTATGGGCCTAACATACGCAGTGTACCGTGTCTTGAACGATTCCTTTTAAGGTATCGGAACGCTATTCTCAGGATTGCCACGCACCCATATGCTGCAGCAGTTTTTTGGTTGATGTGTGCCTCCGGCGGACGTGCCCTCGGTGTTATGGTCACCCCAAGGTCTTTCTCACTGTGTGAGGTCTGTAGTCTTTGGTCACCTAGCCATTACTCTGTCTGCGGTTTTCTTTGCCCCTCCCCAAATCTTCATGGACTTTGCATTTGTCAGAGTTGAATTTCTAGAAGCGTTTCTGGTACCACATGGTCCAGCCTTGTTCAGGTCTCTTTGCAGTCCTTGCCTCATCCTCATCCGATTTAATTCTTCTCATTCAATTCACATCATCTGCGAATAGGACTCTTCAGGGTGTATATTCTTCCATCACGTCGTTCGCTATACCAAAAATAGCACTGGTCTAGAAACTGGACCCCCTGTGGGACCCGCTTAGTCACAGGCGCCCACTGTTGATACTCTTCACGTACCATGACTCGTGTGATGCCCCTCCCTGTCAGGTATTCCTGATCCATTGCAGCGCCCTCCCTGTTATATGCGCCTGATCCTCCAGCTTCTGACACTAATCTCTAGTGGGGTGAACTGTGTCAAGGGCCTTCCTGCAGTCTAGGAAAAACGCTATCTACCCACCCCTCTCTCTTCATGGTCTTACTTCTGTTACCTTGTCATAAAACTCCAGAAGGTTGTGACACAGGATTTGCCTTTCCATGACCCCATGCTGGTTTTTCATTTTTAATCTTGTTCCGTTTCCAGGTGTTTCACCACTCTCCTCTGTTAATCTTCTCCTTGACTTTGACACCACAATACATGTCAGAGACACAGGTCTGTAGATTAGTGGCCTCATTTCTGTTTCTTTCTTAAATATGGGGACACATTAGCTTGTCTTCCATTTTCAGGTCAGTTTGCCCAGTTTCAAAGGGATGTGTTTGAAGATTGTGATTAGGGGCAAGCATAGCATCTCAGCTCCTTCTCTAAGGACCATGGGGAGATGTTGTCCTGTCCATCGCCATTTTTTGAATGGTATCAAGGTCCTAGCAGCTTTGCACTCTTCCTCGGTTGTCGATATGTCATCCAACATTGTTGGTATAATCCTCTTGATGGTCCCTTTTGTGCTGTCTTCTCAAAGCCCTTCCTGTCTCTACTGTAAAAAAATTACTTAAATCTCCGGTTTAGCTACTCACCATTACCTTCTGATCATTTCTTGTGAGTTCTCCACCTTCTGTCCTCAATCGATATTGGATCTTTGACTGTTGTCTTCTCTGATGTGGCTATACAAACAGTTTCGGGTCAGTTCTTGATTTTTCGATGCTATATTAGTTTCATACTGTCGATGGGCCTCCTCCTTACTATGCATATCGTTCCTGGCTCTGCGACTGATCTCCTATTTTCAGAACTGTGTTCTCTGCCTTCTGTACTTTTTCCATTCTCTATTGCACTTTTTTTTTGCCTCTACACCGTCGGGGTAAACCAGGGGCTCGTTCTGGTCTTCCATTGTTTTGTTGCCCTTGGGAAATAAACCTTTCCACTGCCTCCTTGCATTTTGTTGTTACATATTCCATCATTTCATTTACGGGCTTTACTGCCAGTTCACTGTCCCACGGATCTCTGCAGGATAGTTCTTCAACCCTATGTAGTCCCCTCATTTATAGTCATGCTTTTCTAATTCAGCTCTGTTACTCTCTCCACTTGCCAACTCTACTTGTATTCAAAGCACAGATACACGTGGTCACTAGCTCTAGGGAGTCTCTCCATATGTGATGTCCTCAATTGTATTGATACTGCCCCCCCAGGGGGTGAACACAAGGTTCCAATCTTGCGGGTTCATCCTTCCCCTCTACTCTTGTAGTGTCCTTAACATGTTGGTGGCATGAGGTTTTCAGCACCACATCCAACATCTTGGTCTCTCCATGTTTTGGAAACCCCATGTGGCTCCAGGTTTTCCCCAGTCAATCTCCCTGTGGTGAAATCCCCCATATCCAGCAACTTTGTTGCTGGAGTGAGCTCTTCTTGCACTCGCAAGTGTGTCCACCATTGCTCTGTTGCTCTCTTAATATTCCTCTCTTTGGCCTCCTGCAGTTCTGTGTGTGGATTATACTTCACTGCAATGACCACCTTGTGCTCCCCAATCTGAGTGTACCTTCTATGTAGCTCTCTTTCTCCCGTCTGTCAATGCCTCCCATTTTCTCGATTTTCCATTGTTTTTTACGAGCAGAGCAACCCCTCCTCCCCCTCTGCCCTTCTATTCTTTCCTCATGATATGTTTTGGAGGGAGATTGCATCTGTTATTGCTCTCCGTGAGTTTTGTTTCTGTAACTGCTATTGTGGAACAACGCCTTTGGTCCACAGACTCCTAAGTGCACATCACTCTTCGTCCCCTCCATCTTTTTATGATTCACTCATCTTTCTAGACCCATCGCTGACACGCCCACTCCCTAATATCTGAATACATTCATCTCCTGCATACTCTCTCCTCATAAATCTTGATATCCAATCTTTCATCACCTAAATCTTTTTGGTTATCCTCAATTAGACCTTACTCTTTCCTTGTATTCACCTTTAATTTCTTGCTTTTGCACACCCTACCAATTCATCCACCTATCTCTGCAAACTTGTCTTCTGAATCTCCCAAGAGCACAGGGGTCTCAGCAAAAGAGCAGCTTGTGACAACTCCCACTTTGTGTGTGATTCTTTATCTTTTGACTACACGCCTGTTGCAAGACCCTCGCATTACTTCTCTTACAATCCCCATCTATTATTATATATATTATATATATATATATATATATATAAATATATTTTATATATATATATATATATTATATTTATATATATATATATATATATATATATTTAAATATAGTATATATATATTTATATATTATATATATTTATATATATATATATATATATATTATATATATTATTTTTTTATATATATATTATATATATATATTATATATTTTAGATATATTTATATATTATATATATATATATATATATTATAGATATATATATTTATTTTTATACATTTATATATTTATATATATATATATATATGGTTTAAAAGACACGTAAGCAAAAAACTATAACATATTATTAGAAAACGTTGCGGTCCTGGGGACCTTGATCACTTCTACATACAGATGGTAGAAAAGAAAGACATTATATATATAGGCGGCAAGTGAGATGTGACGCACGTGACCTGAGGAATGTCATAAGAAACATAAGAATGGAGGAAACACTGTAGAGGCCTACTGGCCCATGCGAGGCAGGTCTTATCAAAAAACTAACCTCTGCCTATGATGAGGACCAGTAGACGATGAATCATGTGACTCCTGTGTTGTTGGGTTGGTGCTGCTTAAAGTATCAATGTATGCAATGTTTTTGAAAAAATTTTGTAGTTCGTGTTGCGTGTATAGTGTCGGTACGGTGATTAGTGAGGTTCTAGGCCCACCGTCGGCCGTCTGAGGTTGGTTCGGTGAGAAACGATTTGTGCTCGTTCCAGTTCATCCAAATGCCCCGTGGATGGAGTCTCGTGGAGGACTATCAGGCGTACCTTACATCGTCTCTGTTAGAGGCATTTCGTAATGCTCATTCAGGCGGACTGCAAGATCTCTGCCTGTCTCGCCTACATATTTCTTGGGACAGATCCCACAGGGGATATTGTAGACGCCCACTGCTGTAGAAGTTGACGGTGTGGGGCTGCGTTAGTAGTGAGGTCTTTGATAGAGGATGTGTGTATGGGTGGAAACGATGAGATGTTACTTCATAGCAAGTTGCCCGGCGAGTATACGTGGCAACCTCGCCACATGGGAGTCTATGAACTGTTTTAGGGGGCTGTTCCATGGGCGGATTTGTTGGGATAGCTTGTTTTTGCCTGGAGTCTGCAATCTCGGAGGAGAAAGATGGGAGATGAAGACGGGTAAAGGCTTCTTGTGTTAAGTAAGTGATTTCTTCTTCTAGAGAAAACAAAGGCTGGAGATGGCGTAGAGCTCTCAAGAAGAAGCCAATGAGGACTCCTCTCTTAGTGCGGGTATCTTGGTGTGATAAAAGTGTATAAGATCGTCCTTGTTGCGTAGGTTTTCTATACACTTTGAAGAGAAGTTTGTTCATGTCGGGAGATCTGCCACAGTAGTAGAACGTCGAGGAAAGGAAGTTTGCCATCATTTTCGAGTTCAAGTGTAACTTATTGATGGTTCATCTGCATTGATCTTGTTGAGAAGGGCCTGGATTTTGAGGGACGTCTTGGATAGAAAACCTAATATATCATCAACGTATTTTTGCAGGTAACGGTGTTGGGAATGAGGGTGCTGAATTTCTCTGCTCTCCAAGTTTTCATGAAGAGGTTGGCAAGCACAGCACTGTGCGGCTGCCCATTGCCATCCCAAAGCATTGTTTGTTAACAGTTGTCCTGTACTTGAAGAAGTTGTGAAATTAACCACACAGTTCAACTAGATTGATGAATCTAGAAGAGGTAAAGAGAAGTGTCGTGGTTTTCAGTGAGCCTCTGGTCTCTGATTGTTGATTGCAGCGTCAGTAGGGAAGTTGGTAAAGAGGGCAGTGTATCGACGGAAGCCATGCTTTTGTTTTGACAATTCAGGGTGGATTTCGCGGAGAGAAGGTCCCTGAATGTTGAGGTGGGCTTGACTGATAGTGCCAGAAGCGCTGAAAGGTATTTGGCATGGCTTGGGGCCGGCTAGTCTGTGTTGGTGCACTCCTATGCCCGAAAGGAGAGGGCCGTAGTGGGATGCCAGGTTTGTGTGCTTAGGAAGGACATAAGGCGGGCTGGTTTCGGTTGTCTGGTAAGTTTAAGTAGTTTTTTGCTTGTTCTGATTTTCGTACGATGACTACGAGCCTTATGAAGGAAAGTCGGGGTACTTCTGAAGTTGCACTGATTCGATACAGGCTGGTAGGTGTTGCATCGTTGAGATGATTTAGGGCTTTATTGTTGTAGGCGGACAGTGTGAGTAAACACACACCACCTCCTTTGTCAGCGGTTGTAATTGACGATATCATCGTTGTTGGCCAAGTTCCTGAGTGCTTGGATGTATCTTCTGGGAATGACCGGTCTTGAAGGCTCAGTAGCTGCAGCAGTGATGATTCCTTGGACAAAGCCCTTTTGAAACTCGGAGTCTCCAAAAGGTTGGTTCTTGGTTACCATATCCACCAGATATGTTTCTTGTTGATGCCAGTAGTAAACTTGAGCCCTAGGCTGAGGGCTTCTGTCTCGGTGACGGTTAGTGTATAGGAAGATAAGTATAGGAAGATAAGTCAAGCCCACCTCAAACATTCAGGTGACCTTCTCTCCCGAATTTCCAACCTGAATGTCAAAAACAAAAGCATGGCTTCCTTCGATGTCACAGCCCTCTTTACCAACGTTCCTACTGACGCTGCAATCAACAATCTGAGACAGAGGCTCACTGAAAACCACGACCTCTCTATACCTCTTCTAGATTTCATCAATCTAGTTGAACTGTGTGTTAATTCAACATTCTGCAAGTATCAGGAAAACTGTTACCAAACAATTGCTTTGGGATGGCAATGGGAGCCCGCTAGTGCTGTGCTTGCCAACCTCTTCATGGGAAAACTTGGAGTCAGAGAAATCAGCACCCTCATTCCCAACACCGTTTACTGGCTAAGATACGATGATTGACATATTGGTTTTCGATCAAGACGTCTCAATATCAGCCCTTTCTCAACAACGATCAATGCCGTTGAACCATCAATAAAGTTACACTTGATCTCGAAAAATGATGGCACTCTTTCCTCGAGTTCTACTGTGCAGATCTCCCGACAGGTGACCAAATTCTCTTCAAAGTGTATAGAAAACCTTCCAACAAGGGACATCTTATACACTTTTATTCACCCCAGGTACCGCATCTAAGTGAGGAGTCCTCATTGGCTTCTGCTTGAGAAAGCTCTTCGCATCTCCAACCCTTGTTTTCTAGAGAAGAAATGCACTTACATAACACAAGCCTTTACACCGTCTTCAGTTTCCATCTTTCTTTCCGAGATTCAGCTCAAGGACAAAGCTATCTGCGGCGAGCAACAAACCCGCCCATGGAACAGCCCCCTAAACTGTTCATAGTACTCCCATGTGGCGATGTTGCCACGAATACTCGCCGGGCACTTGCTATGAGTAACATCATCGTTTCACCAATAAACACATCCTCTATCAAAGACCTCCTACTAACGGCGCCCCACACCTCAACTTCTACAGAGGCGTCTACACTATCCCCTGTGGTTCTGTCACAAGAAAATATGTAGGCGAGACAGGCAGAGATATTGCAGTCCGCCTGAATGAGCTCGAAATGCCTTATACAGAGACGATGTAAGGTTTCGCCTGTGTCTCCACAGAGACTCACGGGGGCATTTGATGAACTGGTACGAGGCACAACTCGTTTCTCACCGAACCAGACATCAGCGCCGACGGTGCCTAGAAGCCACACTAATCACGTCACGACACTATAGAAATTGTCCGCAACACTGGAACTACAAATTTCAAAAACATTGGCATACATGATACTTAGGCAGCACAAACCCTAACAACACAGGCGTCACATGTTTTCATCGTCTACTGGTCCTCATCATTAGGCAGAGGTTGTTTTTGATAAGGAACTGCCTTCGCATGGGCCAGTAGCTTCTACAGTATCCTCCATTCTTATGTTTTATGACATTCTCAGGTTCACGTGCGTCACATCTCACTCTCCGCCCTATTATATATAAAGTCTTTCTACCTCTGTATGTTAGATGTGATCAAGGTCCCAGGACCGAAAACGTTTCAATAAATATGTTTTATAGTGTTTGCTTAGTGTCTTTCTAAACCAATTGTCGGTATTTAATTAGCCAAAGGTTATCCATATGATATCTAATATATTATATATATTATATATATATATATATATATATATATATATATATATATATATATATTTATATATATATATATATTTAGATATATATATATATATATATATATATTATATATATATTATAATATATATATATATATATGTATATATATTTATATATAGATATATATTATATTTATATATATTTGTTGGCAGAACTTGGATCTTGGCTTAAAACAGCAACGTCATTTACCATATAGGAAAGTAAAAATATTTTTTATGCATAATTTCGCCAAAAATCCATTCTGAACCTAACGAAAAAAATAATAATTTCTCCCTGAGTGAGGTCTGTAGTCTTTGTCCACCTGCCTATACCCGCGCGGCGCCCCTCCCCCAATCTTCATGACTTTGCATTTGTCAAGTTAAATTTCTAGAACCCCAGTTTCTGACCATGTCCACCGCCGGGTTTTCCTTTGCAGTCCTGCCTCACCTCATCCGATTTAATTCTTCTCATAAAATTCCATCATCTCGAATAGGGACACTTAAAAGGTCTATTTCCTTCCATCACGCGTTCGCAAAACCCAAAAAGCACGGTCCTAAATGACCCCTGTGGGGACCCCGCTCGCACGGGCGCCCACTGTGATACCTTTCACGTACCATGACTCTTTTCCCCTCCCTGTCGGGTTTCCTGACCCATTGCGGCCCTCCCTGTTTATGCGCCATCCCCCACTTCTGCAAAATCTCTTGTGGGGAACGTGTCAAGGGCCTTCCTGCAGCTGGGGAAAAACGCTATCTACCCCCCCCTCCTCTCATGTCTTATTTCTGTTCCCTGTCAAAAAAACTCCAGAAGGGTTTGTGACACGGATTTCCCTTTTCCATGCCCCTCTGTTTTCATTTATAATTTTGTTCCTTTTCCAGGTTTTTCACCACTTCCTCCTAAATCTTCTCCATGCTTTGAACAATAAATTCAGAGACACGGTTTTTAGTTTAGTCCCCTCTTTTCTGTTTCCTTCTTAAATATGGGGATACATTAGCTGTTTTCCATTTCTCAGGTATTGCCCATTTTCAAGGATGTTTTAAAGATTGTTTTGGGGGCACGCAAGCATCCTGCTCCTTCTCTAAGGCCCCAGGGGGAGATGTTGTCCATCCCATCGCCTTTGAGGTAAAAGGTCACTTACAGCTTCTGCACCTTTCCCTTTTTTCGTAGTCACCCAACATTTGTTGGTATAACCCTCTTGATGTTCCCTTTATTGCTGTCTTCTCAAAGCCCTTCCTGTCTCTACTGAAAAAAATTTCCTTAAATCTCCTGTTTAGCTCCTCACAACCCCCTGACATTTTTGGAGTTCTCCACCTTCTGTCCCAATCTGTCATCGGGTCTTTGACTGTTGTCTTCCCCTGAAGGGGCTATAAAACATTTGGGGGTCATCTTGTTTTTTCGAGCTATTTATTTTCATTGTCGCGGGCCCCTCCCCCTTCCCTATGCATACCTTTCCCTGGCTCGCGACTGTTTCCCTATTTTCATGGTTCTTCCCTTCTGTACTTTTTCCTTTCCTAGGCCTTTTTTTTCCCTTTCCTTACACCGTCGGGTAAACCAGGGGGGGTTTTTCCCCATTGTTTCTGTTCCCCTTGGGGAATAAACCCTTTTTCCACTGCCTCCTTCTTTTTGTTTTTACATATTCCATCTTTTTTTTTTGGGGCTTTCCTGCCGTTCCTGCCCACGGAACCCCTGGGGAAGTTCTCAACCCTATGTAGTCCCCTTTTTTTAAGTCATGCTTTTCCATTCACTCCTTTACTCTCTCCACTTGCAACCTACAATTATTAAAGCACAAAACCCACGGGTCACTACTCTGGGGACTCTCATAGTGATGTCCCAATTCTGAACTGCCCGGGTGAACAAAAGGGGCCAATCTTGCGGGTTTCACCCTCCCCTCTATCTTGTAGTGCCCTTTAAACATTTTGGGTGCATGAGGTTTTTTCAGCACCCACCAACATCTTGGCCTCCATTTTTGGGGAACCCCCAGGGGCTCCGGGTTTTCCCATCATCTCCCTGTGGTTGAAACCCCCCCATAACCAGCATTTTGTTGCTAGGGAGCTCTTCTTGCCCCCCAAGAAAGGTGTCCACCATTGCTCTTTGCTCTCTTCATATTCCTCTCTTGGCCTCCTGCAGTTCTGTGGGGGATTATACATCCTGCAATGCCCACCTTGTCCCCCAAAACTGAAGTGTACCTCATGTATCTCTTTCCCCGTCTCGTCTATGCCTCCCATTTTCTCGAATTTCCTCTTTTTTTACGAGCAGAGCAACCCCCCCCCCCCTCTGCCCTTCTACTTTCCTCATGATCGGTACCTTTGGGAAGATTGCATCTGTTATTGCTCCGTGGTTTTGTTTCTGAACTGCTATGATTCTGGGACTCTATTTGATTCTTTCTTGCCTTTCCTATGTTTATTCTTTTAATCCACAGCTTTTGTGTAACAAACCTTCAACTTCTTTTTCAAATACTGAAACTGTGGTGGGGGGGGGGAAACGAGGGATGGGGTTTGTGAGGGTTGGTTTTGGGTTGTTCGTTCCTTTGGGGGTGTCGTGCTGGAGCCCTTCTGCAGGTTTTTTGGGGGGGTGTGCTTGCCCTTCCATTTGTTCCGGGGTTATTCTGCTCTCCTTTTTCTTTTTCCCCCCTTCCCCCTTTCGTTTTTGACTTCTCTTTCGATCACCCTTTTCCCCTATTTTTCTGTCTCGATCGGGGTACACATTCAGAACTCCTGTTTGCCTCTCACCCGTGCTTTCTCCTGTGTTGTGTGTGGTGTGTGTGTTGTGTGTGTGTGTGTGTTGTTTAGTTACCTTTTTGGTCCTAGGCACATGTCGATTAGACCCCTTGCCTGTTGTGGGTGTTTGCGTGTGTGTGTGTATGTGTGTGGGGTTTAATGTGGGGGTGTATGTGTGTGTGTGTGAGTGTGTGTGTGTTTTGTGTGTGTGTGGTGTGTGTGTGTGTGGTGTGTGCTGTCGTTTCTGTGAACTCACACAAAAACATTAAAAATTAGTTCTGACTTACCACAGCCACGTATGTCCCGCATTATCAACATCCCAGTGCCGCGGGTACATGAGCTTGTGGGGAAAGGCCCCGGTTTTAAGCGTCGTAAATTTTGACTTGTTTCCCCATGAGAAGCTAAGATAATACGGGTTCGCCCCGGGCATAAAAACTAACTTTTCCCATTTTCTTTTATAGGTAATAATTTATTTTTCATTCACAGTTTTTAAACGTTTTATTTTTGTACCAAACACAACTTAAAAACCCTTCCCTAACCAACCTTAAAAACTTGCGTAATTTTTTAGCTAAAAATTTTGCTCTTTATGAATTCTCAATTTATATTTCCGTTGTTTATGGAAAAAATCATTTGCTTCGTGGCAACACCGATCGAGCGCTTCTTTGAAGATAATTTTTTTCAAATTACTGATAAAACGAAGCTTGATAAAAAATTTTTCCTGCCTCCCCACACCAAGGTCCACCGGGGGGAAATTTTTACGGCTGCTCCCTATAAATGTTTTTATTTTTTTCCCTTCGGCACGAATGAAAAACCCGTAACTTTCCCCCAACGGGTGTAATATTTTCTTAAAAAACCCCAAAGGAAAGTTTTCATTGCAGAGCATCACATGGTTACAGAGTTATGTTTTGACGATAATTTTGGTACTGTGAGGGTCGCGTTTTTGGGGAGCAAACAAAAAAAAGTTAGTTTGTCAACTGGGAACATATTGTGATGAATGAAGAACCAACAAAATAGGAATGTTCACAAACGTTTTTTTCTAAATGAGGCTTGGGCCCAAATGGGCTTCATCGTCTAAACGAAAACGACAGTAAAAAATCCGTTGCAATAAGGCCCTGAAGTTGTTCAGGTGAGTGACTGGACCTGGTAGTTGAGGGGTAGAGGAAACCCTTTGTAGGGTAAAATTAAACACAGACCTTCCTCGTCCACCATAGATAGTCACAAGCGATTACAGTGCACCCCGCCTTTTTTCCTTACCGAGCGACGTCCCCCTTACCATCTGACCAAACTTTTTAAAAAGACCCAATCATTTTTTTTTCGGGTATGTATCCCCTCTATTTTTGGTTTCAGCGGGCAATTCCAGCTCCGGCCCCCGTTGTGTTGTGTGTGTGGTGTGTGTGGTGTGTGTGGTGTGTGGTTGTGTGTACAAAATCTGTAGGATTTGAAAAGTGTACAATAAAATTTTTTCCTGCAGATTTAAGATTGCTAAATGGCTGCTGTGACCCTTCTGCACCATTACCCTAGCCGCGCCTCCTCATCTTTGACACCGCGAGTCAGGGGATTCCAGGGGCAGTCACTGACACTCATTGTGGCGTCAAACAGGGCTTCCGACTCTGTTTCTGGGGGGGAAAAGACAGAGGAGAATTTTTTAGGTATTTTTTTCAGGTTTTTGCGCTTAATAATAATAATAATAATAATAAAAATAATAAATAAAATAATAATAATAATAATAATAAAATTTAAAAACAATAAAAATAATAATAATAATAGTAATCTAATAAATTTTAAAGTTTATAAAAATTAAATAATAATAATAAAATAATAAATAATAATAACGATTTTTTTCGATCACTGTGTGATCCCTAAAAAGGAAAACCCGTATTTCCCTAACTCCAGCCACTTGTGTCTCAGGGTTGGGCTAAAATTATGCAGAAATGGCACAATTTATGCACAACTACATCTACCGCCACCCACCCCCACCATCACCAACCTCCCCACACAAAACCACGACCAAGTGCGTCCTTTTACTGAAACACTAAATCTGTTTCGAATTTATATTTTTTTTGAGATTCCAAAAGGCGAAAAGTTTTCTCTCACATATAGGGAGTCAAATAAATATGCAAATAAGCTTTGGAGAAACATTTAACATAAAAACATAAGAATGTAGGAACACACAGAAGCCTACTGGCCCCAACAGGCAGGTCCTTATCAAAAAGAATCACCAAAGTACTCAAAAAAATAACTCCCTACCCCTTACACCAACAAACCCGCCCCCCCCACCATATATTTGTCCATCTTTTCTTAAGGTAATGATCAAATTATTTTTAAAAAGACTTTAGTTAATAAAAAGGTTCTTAATGATTCGAAAAAAGAATATTGAATAATTAACGCAAAAAATAAGGTTTGTAATCTGTGCTGTCTCGTTATAATATCAATTTTTTGCTCAAAAGCACTTTACTTGAAAAAAATACAATGCACAGTATAATTTTTGAGACACTTTGCAAGACAAACTTTTTTGACAACTGTTTGATCAGTCCCGTCTTTAAGGGAAATCCTTTGCAATGTGTGAAAGTTCTACAACCCCACCCTTTTGCCAATATTGTCCCTATAATAAAAAAAAAAGTGGGAAAAAACCCAGAATCTAGGGGGGGCGTTGAGAGCGTGAACCCAAATACAGCATTTTTTCAAGAGGAACTTAACTTGTCAAATGCAGTAAAAAAAACCCTGGTTCCTGCTACTATGAATTTTGAACACAAGTTTTAAAAAATCACTAATACAGAGGTAATTAAAGGGGGGGACACACAGAAATCTGCTTCAGTAAAAACATTTGCCCTGGGGAAAGGGTGGGAAAGTATTCCCCAAAAAAAGACCACGCCTAGACCACCATGGGGAGGCCACCTACAATATTTTTTATTTTACCGTCTATTTTATATTCATAGTTTTTTTGTTTTTAATTTTTAGGTTTTCGCATTTTCATTCATTTTGTAGATAATGGTTCAAGAACCCAATGTTAAAATTAGACACCTTGCAACTCTGGGTATCTTTTTGAGGGAAAAGTTTCCTCAATAAGAACCAAGAGTTTCACTGTGTCTAATTTATCAACATGTCGGTTTTCTCTGACCTTCATCCAAACCTGTCAGACACTGAAAAATTCTTTTGGTCTTTAAAACTTGGGAATTTTTCGCTTGCCTAAATTTTGGGCACAACCCACTTCCACCTTTAACAAATGGACACCACCATGACGCTGCACCTCTCCTGCCTACGGGTTTTTAAAACTGCTTTCGCTCATCTGCCGTAACTACTCAAGATGATGGGCTGACACTCGACTCAAGGTTGAGGGACTGATTACCTCATTCTCCTCCTGTTCTTCAAGTTTCTCCTATGTATGGACTGATGAAGCCACTGTGTGGCGAAACGTATCCTCAATAAAGATACCCAAGAGTTGCACATGTGTCTAATTTATCAACATGTCGGTTCTCTGAACCATTCATCTACAAACCGTTGGTAGGAGAGGTGCGGCAGTCATAGGTGGTGTCACATTTGTTCAATGTGGAAGTAGGTCGTGCCCAAGAATTAGGCAAGTGAAGAATTCCCAGTATTAAGATCCCACGGGATGAGGGACAGTGGGATGAGGATACATAAATATCTTGCGCGGTATAGCTATTAATAGGCTGAAGCTGTTCTGAATCTCACTATTGGTTGACAGGTTGAAGATGTCCACGCCGGTGTTCACCCCGGGATGAGAACGCCGGAGGACCTCACAGACAACCAGTGCGGCGTCGTCATCGAATCTCTTGGCGTTGAGGACCTCGGGAAGTGGACGTGCAAGGTGCTCCTGGCTGGTAGATCTCTCGTGGGATCAAAGAAAGTTGGTAAAACAAAAGCCGTAGGTAAGTGTTTCCTAGAGTGAAAACAGTTAAATCTGGTAACTAATTCTTGATCTCGTTGATTAGAATCTTTCCATCTCTTCTCATCTTAACTTCATTTATTCAGATTTCAATAAGATGTTTACAGATTTTTCGAAAAGTTTTCGAGATTTATTCCACGGAAACGTGGCATAACATTGACTCAGCCCATTTGTCTTCATTGCCAAAATATAAGACAACTTTGGAAAAATATATGATAATGCCCTGTCAAATGTTGTATTAGGTGTATTAGTATCTGGAAAAAATTATCATCTTCAAACGAAGGAGAGCTTTTGGGAATTACTCATGTGTCCAGCTCCTATAAGAGCTTTCACTGACGTATAATATGAAAATATACCCTGGAACAGCCGGTCAGTACGAGTATGATTATATCAGAAAAGTAAAAGAATACAGTATAAATATATTTAAGCGTTAATAATCAAATACCCTGAAATATGGATTTCAGAATACTCTCCTACAATGCAAGGAAGAAATGTCATTAGAAAACATTAATTCTACTAAAGTCATCATCAAAGCTGATATTTATTCTGAAACACTGAGTTTACGAAACATTATTATGTGTTAAATACAAGCTTTCTCCTTCCCCCTTAACAGAGTGCATTGAGCCGTTCGTGCGACTCGGAGACCACTGTTATTACTTTTATGAAAGTGGCGTAAAGACCTGGTAAGTAAAGTGAAATGTAAACAAAAATCTGCATGTAAGAGTGATTACAAACTGCGTAAAGTATTTTCAAACTTGTTTAGCAGCTCGGTATTTTCTACACTAGTTTACCAGTCAAAAATCTACTGCTGATAATATGACTAGAGATCTTCTAGTCTGCATTGGTAGGATATGACAGAGAACGAAAAGCACAGTAAATAGACACATTTTTATATATTGGGATGACTGTATCTCTCTTGATACGTGTACAACCCTATATATGGAGGTGGAGGGGTATACAATATCTCTATATATGCATTTATAATTTATTTCAATCCAAGTTTAAAGTTCTCTTGACTGGTAGTGTCTAAATGACCCTCGTTTCTCGATAGGCTTTAAGCCAAATTAACTAGCCAACTAACCAACCACAGGACATATACATCGAGAAGTGCTTATTTCAAACTGTATTAAGCTGAGAGTTTACTTGATAAAGTGACATTCAGCTTTAGTGACCCTTGTGTAGTAGAAAGTCCTTAAGCCCCTATTAACCATGGAAAATAAGAAAATAAAAACAAGCTTTGCTTAATGCACAGTAAGATAATAATGATTAAAGGATGTATGCTGGTTGGTTACTTGGCTGATTACTGCACTAAACCTAACTGCAGTGATAAACTTTATGAGTTTTTTTTTTTTTTGAAGAAGTGAGATGCAAAAGAAGATCAGGGAAAAAATAAGATGACATCATTATTGTAGTGAAAATATTTTACTTATTATTAGTTATGGCCAAAAGAAAACAGCATTCATTTTGCAAGAAGATCTGTGTGAGATTTAAGAAGCTCCTCATGACTCGGGTTCTAATTTAATAATTTGTAATGTCATAGTGTTAGACTTCATTTGCACAACCTTTTTGCTAATGATCTACACGCTAATTTTTCTACAAGGAAGAGATAATAAGCGCTGTTAATTTTTTTACCAAGCAGTATGGTAATATGTCTCTATGAATGTGCAGGGAAGAAGCTCGCGAATACTGTTTGTCGATGGGAACGTGGACGGATCTAGCTGTAGTGAACGACTGTCATCAGCTTACACTTGTCTGGGACCACATCCTCATGTATTGTGAGTTATGCACTGATTATATCAAGTAGGGCCGAAAGATTTGTTATAATACATCTATCCATCCGATAACATTCAGTTATATAAGCAGAACATAAAACAATAGGACCAATGTCTCTGAACAATAGCATTTGACAACAGGTAATTAAAAACATTTTTATTTACAGAAATTCTCACATATAGCTTCACACATACGCACAAAATATACATTCTTTTTTTTTTTTGGGGGGGGGGATATAATTGAATATAAGCACAATATTTTTCCAGATTTTTAACTCTGGTCTTACTGTTTACAGATAACTCATCCAGGTACTGGATCGGTGGCGCTGACCTAGGACAAGAAGGGTCATGGTACTTTGTAGACGGAAGTACTGTACCAGTTGGAACACCCTTCTGGTATCCTGATAAACCCAAGTGGCAATGGAAATTGTCTTTCTTTATCTTTCTCTCATGGATACTTTGACGATGAAGATTGTGAAATTAAGGTCCATTTCGTCTGCCAGGCATTTGAATAGTAGATGTTATTTCAAAGTTCAGGAAATGACAAAGATATAAAATGCAATTACTGGATGTGAGTAAAATTATTCTCCTTCTGCTTGTAGGTAGCCAAGGGAGTAATTATTAAAAAAATATTTTCGTTAACTAAGTATTTCTAAAATACAACTGATGGTCAATAAAACGACGTAATTCAAAATAATGTGTAAAATGAATTTAGAACGCTACTAGTAACAAGGAGATTCACTTTGTGTATATCTTGACCTGAAGAGTTTTCTCACTCAGGAGTTTACTCTCAGCATTAGCAGATTGAGCTCATTAGTTTGAATTTATGTGTTTTTCGCTTATAGTTCTATTTTTTCTTGTTTATCCACTGTTATAATCCTCTCAGTGGATTATAACAGTGAACTTCTGACTTAAAGTATTTTCAGTGTGCTAAAATTTTGAAGGCAAAATTATTTTTATGGACTTCAATAGTCTGTGAACTATTTGCAAAGTTTTCATGATGTGGTAAAAGGAAAAATCTGTTAGGGAATTATATATTTCTTGGGTTGTTTCATTTTATTCCCATTTTGGGTAATGAAATTTACAGAGATCTAGTAAATTTTATCTATATTATCAACATATTCATTAATAAGCACATATATACAATACTCTCAAGGCCACTCCACAAGAATGGCGAAGCGCCGACAGTCTGGTGAGTTAAACAGTCTATACATCACTAACGCCAGTACTGGCCATTCTTTTCTTCTTTTTATTTTAGTAAGCTGTACGGGAAAAGGGGTTGCTAGTCCATTGTTCCAGACATTTTAGTTGACATTTAGAACACAATGGCTTATGGAAGACAAACTCTTATTCCACTTCCTCATGAATATGAAAGAAAAATAATAAGAACAAGAACTATTAACATAAAAACAAAGAAAACTCAGTTGGGTGTGTATACATAAATGTGTACATGTATGTGTAGTGTGACCTAATAAGTAAATGTAGCGAGATATACCTGTTATCTTGTGTGTTTATGAGACAGAAAAAAGACATCAACACTCCTACCATCATTGAAAACAAATACGGATTTCTGTCTTACACTCATTTGGCAGGATAGTAGTACCTTCTGGGTGGCTGAGGGTGATTACTTTCCAGTAAAAGTAGATCTTAGAAAGAGATGTGTAATGTCACCATGGTTGTTTAACATATTTATAGATGGGGTGAAAAAGCAGTAAATGCTAGGGTGTTGGGGACAGGGGTGGGATTAAATTATGGGGAATCAAATACAAAATGGGTGTTGACACAGTTACTTTTTGCTGATGATACTGTGCATTTGGAAGATTCTAAAGAGAAGTTGCACCGGTTAGTGAACGAGTTTGGGAGAGTGTGTGAAGGAAGAAAATTGAAAGTAAACATTGATATGAGTAAGATAATGAAGGTATCAAACGAGTCAGGTAAAAAAAATAGATATCAAGCTTCTTTCCAAGCAAAGAAACAGACTGAAAATTACTGAACGTGGGGATCTAAGACTTTTTCTTAGTGCCTTCAAGCCTGATGTTGAGAAGCTGATGTCCCTGTGAAAACAATCTATTTACAGATGAGATGTAAATTTACCCTTTCATATTGCTAAATTTATTTGTGAAATAAATACACTAGTTTATAGTGTTAGATTAGTTGTTTTTAATTTGCAGTAAACCAGGAAAGAGGTGTGTTCATATGTATGTGTGGGGGGGGATGGGGGCGCTAGGGATGTGGTCTGGGAGAAAAAGGGGCCGCAGCCTGAAAAAGTTTGGGAACTACTGATCTACACAAACATATCTGGAGGATTTAGTGTAGCTGATGTTTTCCTCTGCAGACCCATGAATGAGGGACGTCGTTTGCCTGTCAATATCTTTGTTTTAGATAAAGATACGACGAGGCCTAGTCGATTACAAATTACTTGAACTTTGTTAAGAATAGTATTCATCTTTTTATGCACTGTTGTATAATAATAATAATAATAATAATAATAATAATAATAATAATAAAAATAATAATAATATAATAATACGACAATAATAATAATAATAATAATAATAATAATAATAATAATATATTAATAATAATAATTATAATAATAATAATAATAATAATAATACCTTTATTTCCACATGTACATGTACAATGTATACAAGTCTAGCTGACATTTATGACATACTAAACAGAGCATTTCGAGCAAATTGGACCATGACGGACAATGATGTCATCTGCAAGCTATAGCTTTATGT